CTATCTATACTTCTATACATCACATCTCCGCAAGCAATCCTCGCGCGCGCCCAACTTTTTCGTTGCATGGTAACGAACGAACACACGACATATTTAAACCCACCTATCTCGTTCTCCAAAATCCACGTTTTTCTGCAAAAACCTCCATTCGTAACCTTTCACTATTGCCTTTTTTCAAAAGGGTGAAAAGGAAAAAATTAAATTAGTGTTTTTCCAGCCTGTCACGTGGCCAAAATAACATGCGCCATTGGATATTAACTTGTCCAATTCACAAATCATCCATAAACTCTAATAAAGGTCGGAGGTATTATGCGATTAAAAATATAAATCACGCTCTTTCTCGGACTGTGAATGGGAGTTTTATAATATTATGTCCTGAAGACTCACATACACTTATCAGTGCTCAGTGCTCCCGGCTTTTGGGGATATTATAACAAGTAATGACATACCTGAGCCACGACATTCCAAGATCATTATTATACATGTCAATGATACAAGTAGCATTCGTGAATTGGTCACCAAAGTCATATCACCAATAATCGGACCTTCAAGTATAAATTATACGAACTGATGTATCGGTATATAATACGAATTTAAGTTGTCATATGAGATAGACTACGTTATATAGGGAAGGGTTTCAATTCTAACACCGTTAATAAGCCTCAGAGGTAATCAAAAAGCATCACATTGTAATCGAAGAGTTTAAAAGAGTTTTCATAAAGCAAATAGTAAGAAATAGTATAAGAAATAGTATTATATTATAGTAAGAAATAATACATCACTATTCACTATCTTATATTATAGTTCCAGGCTCATCAGGATGATGTTTGCTAAGCCTCGTCTACTCAGATAGTCGAAACAACTCAAGTTTATTTTTCTCAAGTTGAGTTGTTTTAAGAGGGGGGGGGGGGGGGGGGGGCAAGGCAACACCATAAATACCTATCATTCCCTCCGATTTCAAAATAGGGATGGTATTTATGGTTATTTTTGGGGTTGCGAAATCACGCAAATGTGACCGCTATGGAAACGCAAGATGTCGAACTACAGTACGTATCATTTGTTGAGCTGCACTATATATAGTATATAGTCGCGAAATTGAAGATGCAATTCATGCAGGCTAAATAACAGGATGCAGTGAAACTATCGGACTACAATGAATGGGGAACCTTCTGTTAAAGTCGCATTGTGACAACCCCATTCACCACAAATAGAACATGTCCCTATTAAGTCTAATCAGCCATCGGATGTTGTAGTATCCAATAGGTACGCAATAGAAGGATCGGTGCTAAGAAGCTTTCAATTAATTCTTTGATAGAACAATTTTGAGTCACATAATATACAATTTTATAGTTTTTAATACACTGTACATGATATTGACAAAATCTACAAAATCCATCTTCAGACCACCATCAAAATCAAGAGTAATGATAGCTCTCATAACTAGTACAAGTTGTTTAGGTGCTCTGGTGTTTATGTTGGATGATCACTTTGCCCCTGTTGGAAGAAAGGCTATTTTCACACTAGATAGCTCTAGTATTGTGGCTCATCTCAGAGATCCCAACATGACGAGTGGACTCCGTTGGGATTGCACCCTGAAGAAGTTGTCTTATCTTGCTGGTTAATTCCGTACTCCGAGTAATGATGATTAATGGGCTAATTGCTGCATTAAGAAGTGGCAGAGTAAGACTAAAGACAGCTGTAAATAAACCATCACCTGCAATTGGATCATTTTTTAGAAAGAGCACATAGATGTACTCTGCAAAAAGAAAATAGAGAGTGGAGACACTGTTGCACACACAGAAAAGTAACGTCAGATATGTGACAGTAACAGTGACATGTCTCTGTTTTGCTGCAGATTGTTGACTTGGTGCTGGCTGTGACAGAGACTGTGACAACATACCAAGACAAATGCAGCTCAGGATTGCTGGAATGATGAAAGGAATGACGATCAAAATCAATTCAGTGGTTGCTCCATAGTAGGTGCCATTTTCAATGTCTCCATATTTGAAAGACATGATTCCTCCGATAGTCAACCCCAGTTTCCCTTCTTTCACATATGATACGGTGGCGGAAAGCTTACCTTTTACGATATCCATCACAGCTATTGCCAGCCACAAAGCAGAGTAAACAGCCACTGAAAGAAGCGCTGCCTTTGTTTTGATATGGAAGAAAGGTGATTTGATTTTGATTGTTCTGGCTATGGACAAGAGCAGGTTTAGATAAACTGAAACTCTGTAGAATACTTCCCATCCAGTTGTGGTGATGATAAGCGCATAAGACATTTCATCTGACATATTCTGATCTGTTGGTGGCTGCAACGTCTTTATTATAGAGTCCTCGTCAGCTAATGTAGTCTGATGTGTTGGTGGAAGTAACATCTCTAATGAATCCTCATTTAGTGTAGTGTGATCAGGACTGCTCCAATACACTTTCATTATCAGACTGGAATTGATGATAGCAAAAGCAGCTGTCAGTCCATCACAAATTGAAATGAGTAAATAGATACAGGGTACAAATTTCCTGAAGTCTTTTTTGTAGAAATGGACCACAAATACGTTCAGAGCGATTACAGGCAATGTTATTGATGTGTTTATCACTGCAAAAACAGAATCTGTTATCGTAAAATTTTCACCAGCCATGTTTCAGATCCTGGGTAGTTTTAATTACATTAGTTAACAAATACTGTAAATAAAAGTATATTATTTTATTATTATAGTCCAAATTACCAATATTTGATTAACAGTGAAGAGAGTAAAATGAGGTGAAATTTATGCGAACCTGAACTAATATATTAAACAAGTAGTTTTCACAAAAACATCACAAGGGTGCTGCAAAGTTACCAAAACACATTTCCTAGGTGAGTGTGGATTTCCAGGTTTTAACAAATTGTTGGAGACTGTGTGTGTTATTAAAATTCATGAACTGAAATGCAACTATGCAAAACATTAATTAATTAACAGGAAAACGGTTATTCCATTTCCACAATCCTAAAACATGTATAATATTATTGACATGATTAACAATCACAATTAATAGAAGACATCTCTGAGTGAAAGGAGCACTGACCCCTTCGCCAAACAACATTGTGTTCCATTGTCTAACTCATTGTCTAATGTTTTGTGTGTGGTTGGGTCACTTTGGGTGTGTCACATGGCTGCAATTATTGCCGTTTAACTGATAAGTTTGGAATTGTCCATTAAAATTCTGTTTTATTGTTTTATATCAAGGTATTATTGGATAATGGTTCAAGAAATGGGATAGTATAAACTCTCATCTTCTCATTGGTAAGATTAGTACTTTCTTTGCAGGTTTTAATTAAATAGTTTGTAACTACACAGCTTTTAAAAACCAATATCTGATATCCAATTTCTACAAGACCGAAACTTGCTCATGGGAAGAGGTAATATTTGGTCTAGTGAATCTGAAAATACAACGAAATGAAGAGCCACTCTATTGACTGCAATACAACTTGTTCCACAGGTAGAACTAACTGATCCTATTTGCATAATCAGATGATAATGATCGTCAAACAATGTGATACTAATGACTTGCTGATTAGATGATATTGGCCTGGAGCCAAGGGGCCAACTTATCTGAGCTAATGCATCTTTATAATACAAACTATTGAAATTGATCAATGGTTTATGCATATTATTTATAAACTTTAATTTTAAACTTAGTATAGCCCCACTGGATTGTATTCTACGAGTTGCGGTGCCATTGAGCCGAGCAGGCCATTGATTGAGTGACGAAACCACTTTAATCGATTTCAGGGTATATATTAACTCTGAAATTTGTGTGCAATTCTGACATGAATGACGTGAATTATTAAAGCTTTAAAGGGTTGCGTGTGGGCAGTTACTTCTGGGCCAACCTGTATCTATATTATTATTAATAATAGTGTATTACTTCGTGCAGTTGGTTGCATGATCTGAAACGACAACGAATAATTGAATTCAGGGTAACTGGCTAATGAAGCACAGAGAGCTGTTGAATTGATTTAAAGGTTCATAAGTGTCGTATCTATTAATATTTAAATTAGGCCGGCAATGATCAGAACATTGATCACGTGATCATGACGCAATTGATCAGTGTTAAATATTCATTTTACCTCTTCGTTAAAATTATCACTTACATCTCTTCCATTCCTCTGTGGTGTACACTGTACATTAACAAATAGCACCATACTTTTAGCCGGAAAAGTCTGAAATTGGCTTTGTGTAATGCGCTTTATTAATCCAGACATAATAAGAAAGCCAACATTTGTAATGACTTCCTGTCTAGTCGGACCCTTTAGATCAGACAGTGGGATCATGATAATTTAACGGCTAAAAGAGTGGTTCTAATGATCACAATTAATCAAATAGATTTGAAAATATGATATATACTTATTGGCAAAGAACCAAGTAATGACCTGTGCTCTGAATTTCTGTAAATTGCTCTAAATTCTTAAGATTAGCCAATTAAAATGCTTTACAGAAAACCTGTGAGTAAAACTATAACATGTTTCGTCGGTGCAATCAAGCAAGCAAAAATAATGAATTGAACACTATAAACGTGTGTCTATGGATAGTTATGTGGTTGCTCTGAAGTCATTCAGTCATTGTCTTCAGTATCTTACTTAAAGGTGTCCATAATTGGACAAGGTGAAATTTTTGCTGTGTGATGTCAATATGATAACGATGAAATCGTATTTTTTGGAAAGATTTTCTTTGACATTTTGAAAATCAGCCGCTTCTACAGCAGCTGATTTAACGTCTAAACGTCTGGCACTGCTTCCAAAGTATGGTCTACTAAGTTTTAAGTTATTAATGCTTTTAAGCCAATCACTGCATGATATTCAATTATTTAAAATGAAATTCATGTTTTCAGGATCTAATCAGATTTGCTCTGAAATGTATTATCAATTTCCTGGTTACTAAATTTAAAATTAGCGAACGATATCTGAGTGTCATATTACAAACTAATTTGATACACTCTCTGACACGACACTCCAAAATAGGATTATGTCAAAGTCAAGCCCTTAATTCGAGAAAGACAAAGATTCTAAGAACTGGGAGTTACACATGACGTGAAGTTCACAGAACCAGAGATGATAAATGGCTGGCAAGTTCAAAGTTGAGGGTTACAAATTTTACGAGAAGCTTGGAACGGGAACTTACGCAACTGTCCTAAAAGCAAAGGTGAAGTATTCTCTATGAAACATTCTCCATTTAGCACATATTATCATACTTAATACCTATGCGATAACGTATTTTAATTAAAAGGAAGCCCAAACAAATGTCAATAGGCAAATAAAACTTAATTATCTATTTAATGAAAAAACGAATGATATAGAAGAGAGATTATAAGCTCCATTATTTGCATACACGTGTCAACTATTAAACATTAGTCATTATGCGTGGTCACAGTTCCTTAGTACCAAATGTTTATCCCGATTGTTCTTCTTCAGTACCTACCTAGAATAGAGTCATTATCAGTAAATTAAACACGCACACGTGCAGGTGCGTGAGCCAGGGTAGGAGGGGAGGGTTCTAAATCAGTTAATGTTTTCAGGATGTGAGTGGACAGAATGTAGCTATAAAATGTATCAAGAAGAAGTCGTTGAGTAAAAGAGGGGCTGATAATCTGATTACGGAGATTCAAGTGCTGAAGGATTTGAAACATCGACACATTGTTCAGCTACACGACTTTACTGTACGTTGTATTAATTCATATATTTGATATTTAAAGTTAGAATTAAACAATGGTTATTAGTTAAGTTATAAGCCCCTATCAGCGATAGAACTCTGTTCAGAAGCAATGTAGCAGGGAAACGATAATGTTTGTTGTCAGTTCAAAGTTGTGTTGGATCATACATGACTCAAACATGAACAGTCGCAATGTTTTCGTAATTAAGATATATTATTTCCTAATAATCTGTCTTCATCACATTGTTTTATCCCAACTATCTAATTATTTGTTCGTTTCAGTATGACGATGACCACATCTATCTGATATTGGAGTTTTGTAAACTGGGCGATCTCTCAAGTCTCATCGCACAAAATGGGAAACTCAGTGAGACTTTAGTCAAAGATCTCATGCAACAGCTAGCGCTAGCGCTGCGTTACATGAACAAGAAAAAAGTTGCACACATGGACTTAAAACCACAGAACATTTTACTGACAGGAAGTAAGAAAGAACCTAAGATAAAAGTAGCAGATTTCGGTTTTGCAAAGATCCTCAAAACCAGTGCCCCCTCCTCAGATGCGTCCTTAAGAGGTTCGCTTCTCTACATGGCCCCAGAGATAATCCTCTCAAGGTCAGAGTACGATGGAACTTTAGCTGACATGTGGTCTGTTGGGGTTATGATATTCGAGTGTTTATGTGGCCGCGCACCCTTCGCGTCTCGCACTTACGACGAATTACTGAACAAAATCGCTGCTAAAACCCCCGTACAAGTTGAGGGCGCTGTCAGTGCCAGTAAAATGTGCATCTCTTTGATCGAGAAGTTGTTGGAACGAGATCCCCAGTTCAGATTGTGTTTTCAGAAGTTTTATCATCATCCTTTCTTGGACATGGAACACGCCCCTACCCCATCATCATTACCTGCTGCTGTATGTCGTTTATTAGTAATTAGTAGTTATTATGGTAGAATCTAGAGTGGAAATGTATTACTGGTAATTCTGGGAACGTCTCAGATATCTTTTTCAATTTCCACATAGGATTGATACATTAATTGTACTTACCGTAGTCCTATTGAATAATGTACACAAATATGTGTATATTAATTGATGTAATGATTACAATAAATATATTACTTACACATTACCACTATAATCAAATTACAGAGGGATTTGGTGGAGGAAGCTGTTTGTCGAGATAACGAGGGAGACTACGAGAATGCTATCAGGCTCTACACAAAGTCCCTGGATCATTTCATGGCTGCAATACATTGTAAATACACACATCTGTTTCCGTATAATTGAATTAGTGAGCACGAATATTGCGGCTCAAACTAGCACTCATTCACAATATATGTAACATTTCCCTTTCCTCAGATGAGGACAGTGAAGAGAGGAAGGATGCACTTCGAGGCAAAGTTACCAAATATATGTCCCGTGCCGAGGAATTGAAAACTTTGCTCCGTGAAGGAAGGCCCCGAGTAGCGTCCGGTGACGAACTCATCCCCAATCAACTCCTAAGTAAATTTTTAATTAGAATTGTGGCAGTGATTTTACTTAATGAGTTGATTTTGTTGGTCTTGAGAAAAATTGGAAATATTCCAAGAATCAATGTTGATACAAAAGGGTCTACATAAACGTTTTGACGTCACGCGCGAACCTCTCTCGTTTATTTGCAACGCGCGTCACGCGAATATTTATGCATGATATGCGCGTTTTTGCTGCTTTAACAACTGCATTATAAAGTTATCTGTCTGGGCAGCAGATCATGCATGATAAAATAATCTGTGTCGTTTCTGGAAGGGAGGAGACCGTTGTCACTTCTACCGCGTGCATTATGCGTGTTTATGATTAGTAAATCGTGTGATTTATGAAGACATCGTGTCGTCATTATTTCAAATGTGAACATCAAGCACAAGAATTCACGAGTGTGCCTGAATAATACAACATTGAGACGAGAAACAGATGTCCGATTCTGGAATGCTCAAATATCGAATTTTACATTTTATCCAAATGCTCAAAATATTCCCTTCCCTCAGTTCAGATTTCCAACAATGACTCCCATTTGAAGGCAGCGCTGTCGAAGCTAAAAGTAGCATTTGATAAAGTGAGTATTACTGAAACATTGCTGGACTACACTCAACAATGCTGGACTACAGCCAACACTAAAGATTATTACCATCTAGATCGAATTACACAATTTGAGAATTCATTCCACGTCAGCTCTAAATAGCCTCTGTCAGGACGAAAAGGGCGAGTTTACGTTAGCACTGGGTCTGTACGAGAATGCGCTGGAGGCACTCTTGAAAGTGCACAACAAATCACAGGGACGGAAAAAGGAACTTCTCAGAGGGGAGGTAAATGTCACACAAGAATATGTTTATTATTTATTGAATTTGTATTCAAATGATCTGGAAACTGCAGAGCAGCAGAAACATTTGTCATTATCTTCCTCCAAAAGGCTGATACTTTTGGAGTCAAATCCATTTCGACATGTCCTTCGATTTTGGATAATTTGAAACCACGCCAATTAGATAAATAATTACCGAGAAATGTCTCTGGTACTTTTTAATTGCAATAGGCAATAGATATGAAAAGGCACCGAAAATCGAAACCTTGTTTTTTTTCAGGTGAATAAACATATGAGACGAGCCGAAGAAATAAAAAGCTTTTTGCAGGTATGCAATTTCTAAAATATTATTTATGGTATTTCATTCTTTATATAAATATTATTTATGGTATTTCATTCTTTCTTCGAGAGCACGTTTCCTTGATTTGTGTATGCGATTTGTATGCGATTTCACCCCTGTATGCGATTTGTGTTCCGGGGTATTTGAAACAGGTTTAGGGTTTTAAATAGTTAGTACCTGTACCAAACCATCATAAAAATCAAGTTTCGACCTCCCAACCCACTCAGGCCACTCCCAGGGGCCACGCCCATCCCAAAATAGCTGAAATCCTGGTAACATCAAGATTGAAAATCTTTACCCCCGTATGCGATTTATGTTCCGGGGTAGGTGGCCCATGTTTTAGTATAAAACATCTGTCCACTACCCCGGAACACAAATCACATACAGGGCCGAGTAAAGATTTTTGACTTGAATTATAGCTTTTCTGGGGTCGGTGCGGCCCTTGGATGTGGTTCCAAGTTGGGTTCAAGGTGTTATTTAGTTATTCATATCATAGTGTCTATAAATATACGAGCAGTTTATTTTGACTTTTAAAGGGTTACCGTCATAAATTCTACAAATATAATTATTTTAACGTACGTGCGGCGCGCAAATCGCATACAAAATCGCATACACATTTCAGGGAAACGTCTTCTGCTTTCTTCATACTATCTCATATTTTTACTGTATACAAAAATCTTCGTTTCCGTTAGCCTATGTAGTATTTAAAAATGATGGCATGAATTGTTTCTTCATTTACATCCCGTACTAACAAATCAACAGACTCTATTTCTCCAGACTGTCCGGAACGGAGAGCCGAGTCTGTACAACTACCACACTCTTCCCAACCCTCGTACTGCCGTGAGTGCAGCCACTCAGTCCACTCCCACTATTGAGGACGGCCGACCACAGCGCCCTGCCTCTAGCGCTGACGTGCGGAACAGAGTAAAGTCAGCGGGGAGGGACGTAGATAAAGGGGACGAGGTAGAGGAAGAGACAACTTGTGAGTTTTATATTTTTATCTTTTACACTTTCTCACATGAAACAACATGAAACTATTTAGTATTTGTATATCAATATCATGAACATTGAACATATAATGCACACCAACCGTAATCAGTCCACAATTCACGACTTGCCTATCTTTGGACGAAAATGACGAATCAAAGTTTTCTCAATAGTTTCAGCACTGAAACACAGATATAAAAGGAGCTGACGACTTTCTGTGAGATATTGTCTCATTACAAACTTCTGTACTTTATAGAGTACTGTTTGACGTTTCTTTCATTTCTTCAGCAAGATTTTTGTGGGCGATTCTCTGTTCTTTATTTTATCAGGAGCAATATTTATTTAGATTGCCTTAAAGCCACTTACAATTAACGACCAAAAACTTCTCTGATCGTCTACGAATATATCTGTTCGCCAAATTTGCTGACTGCAAAAATGTGTCAGCATTTCTTCGCATTCAGCAAATCAACAGCAGCTTTCTTAATTTCTTTTAAAACAAACCAGAAAACTGCATCTCGTGAATATTAATTATTATAGTACCGCAATAGTACTCCGAATCTGCAATACTTGATACCCGCTACTTTTACGTGTGGCTATAATATACCGTTTTTGCACGTGTCAGCAATTTCAGTAGTTCATTAGTCGAGTGTATTGAGTGTGGATTTTGATAACATTTCGTGTAAAAAACCTCTTTTTTACCTCTTAACAATGATCAAAAATTTAATCACACTTCATTTTTTCCGATGATCCAAATGTGCACATAAATTCACTCGAACCATTTCAGATTCCTGTTCAGTTATGTGAAGGATGACGATTCCTCCTAGCATTGATCAATTGTTCTATGTTCAGATAGGCCAACAGTGTCAAGACCAACTTCATAGTTGTGATTTCGACTTGAATTTTGTAACGAAGTACAGCTTCGACTTGAGATGTACGCGAACAGTTAAATAGTTGATGTTGCAGTTAATTTGGTATGGGAAATTTGAAATGTTAAATTTTTCATATAATCTTTGTATTTAAATGACCTCATCTAATGAGAAAGAAAGTAGCGCTAATTATTGTTGAATAAATAGGTGTTTTATAATGAACTTGTTGGAAAGGTTAGACGATTAAAGTAGAGTGTTTATCGAAAGATTTTATGACAGAAAAGTTTTTAGAGATTTTATAGTTCGTTGATATTGCATTGAATTGAGCTTATTAGTCCATATTGTCAATATTTTTTCTGCTGTAAAGTTTGAAGCTGCAGATTTAAGCAAATTCGTTGCGTTTTTTCATAATCCGCTGAAGCATTGTCCTCTTCAATCTCATGTCAGATATGCGATATCAAAACTAACAAACAGTTTATAACGGTTAATTTTGTCTAATTGATTGTAAAGTTTTTCCACTTATATATCAAAAATGTATCAACATTTGTTCAGCATATTCAAGTTATCCAATTTAAAATTACAAACGTTTGTAAGATATAAACGCTTAATTGTAAAGTATCAATCTTCTGTTTCAAAAAATGTTGGTTTATAATCAAAGGTCCTCATCATTTCTGCACAAACTCTCTCAATAGTCCTCCAATGAGGTTCAATAAGTTTCTCCTTCCATCTGTCTACAATTTCACTTGACTGTCTCTCAACTCCGTAAACACCGTTAGCCCTCTCTCCTCTATCCTTTACATGAGTAATATTATAAACATACTCTTTGTATTGACCAGTATAGTTTATCCCTAAGAATTGAAGCAGATCAATTGTCCAGTACTCTGGAGATTCTGCTAAATCCTCGTACCTGACCATTTTGTACCGTCCTTTCAGCCAGGGTGGAGGGTTCATGCCTAGTTTGTAGTTGTAAAGATGATGAGAACACATCCAATGAGCTGCTTCTGTCATGTAAGACTCTTCAAAGGAAGTTTGTCCTTCATTAAACGGTTTCTGCGCCCCAAGGAGAGCATTGCCATCGTAAAGCTCATGGAATACTGACATGCGAGAGTTCATTACAGCCCTAGGATCTCTGACAAGATGTACGACTTTGAAATTTCCACAACCAAAATCTTGGATTTTATACAGAGTTGAAATGTTGTAGTACCGAATGGTTTTTGGTATCATAATCGATTCTTTCTTAAAACACATCTCTCTAGCTTTTATCTCTGTCGGTTTGGACTCAGGATCTTTGTTTAATCGCGAGGCTTTGTATTTTAAACCTCTGATTCCTTCAAAATGTTTATCTTTTTTCCCTGGTATTAACACCCCGTGCCAATCACATAAACAGATCCTCGCTAAGTAGACCTCTCTCCAATCCTTATATATTTCCGGGTCGTAGCCGTCTGCGAGGGCCTCTTCTCTGAATCGGTTTAATATGGCGTACATTTTGAGGAATTTAGAGCTGTTTAGCGGCTCAAACACAGGGACAGCTTCGTCCCCGTACCCCAACACATCCATCAACCAAGTGGACCCATGTCGGCTCTGGGTCAGAACTATCACCATTTTAGGCCGGCTTGATATTGTAGGCGGGGCTGGGAGTTTTGCTGTGTTATTAGGCCGGCTTGATATTGTAGGCGTGGCTGGGAGTTTTGCTGTGTCATTTGGTCTCAGAGTAAGCTTCATCTTGGGTTCATTAGCAGCTGCTAATGTCACATTTCCGTGCTCTTTTGCTAGCTTATCCGCTTCCACTACCAGTTCGAGGTTTTGTTTCTCCACATCTTCTACAAACTTACCTCCAGCTATTTGATTCAGTTGATTGTTCTGCTGCTCAATACCAGCAGGTTCAATTATAGCATTAATTTCCGTAGATTCATTTTCGACAGAACCTATTTTGAGTATTGGATCTTGCATAACTGCCTCCTCGATAATATTAGCTATATTTTGCGACTGTGTTTCTTTTCTCCCAGTCAAAGATTCCTTTTCGTCAGGTGACATATCCTTTAAAACACTCTCCCTCAATTCTTGATCACCAAAGTTATCCTCTACATCTAGAAGTTGTGGTGTCACAGTATGCTTTCTATAAAACTCAGTAGTAGGACCCTCTTGTTGATCTGGAGTGTCTTCAGAAACTAGTACAGTTTCTCTGAACAAGTCCTCTATAAGCTTCTCTTGCCACTGTTTCTCCAGTTCTCCTACCTCATCACTTTTACCCGACACATGATTGGTAAATGAAATAGAAGCCGATGTTTTCAGCTTCAGTTCAATGATAATGTCTTGAAAGAAGCACAGAAGGACAACAGTGTAAATCAGGAAAACAGCAGATAACCAGAGCAAGCAGCCTCGTGAGTCCATGACATTGTTTACTGAAAATGTGGGACCCTTAAACACAACTAGTAAATGTAGTAACACGCTTTACAAAATGACGATCAACTATATCGAAAAAGTAACGATGAGCGTATTATTTTATTATATAATTAAAATATCAGATTACTAATACTGTGAAATGTATCAAAACAGAACGAAACAAGAATGCATTTAAGAACACAGTGACATTGTAGAGTGTGTAGTGGTAAGACGTACAATCGTAACAACAAGTATTGGTATAAAATGTAGTGTACCTACACTTGATGGTTTTTATTGAGTTACTATATTTTGTTAACAGTAACCTGATTTGGGCAGCCTGATATTAAGTCATGAAGATTCTGTCCCTGACTCCCCTGCGCTGTAGCCGGCTCTAACTGCTGGGTCAAATAACAAATGGGTATACATTTGAAGTTATCACAATTAACTAAATTAAGTTGTCTCAATGATTGAGCACTCAGTCCAACATCATAGCTACAAAGTTCACCCTGCAGGTCAATGGTTCATCTTTTTGTCAGTACCGCACGATAATTTGGAATAACTAATGAATAACTAATTAATTATCAAGTTTACTCTGAACATATCATGAAATGGAATGTACCAGCTATCCGAGTCTAGTCACTCCCTTACTCCGAGGGGAACAAGCAGGTTGCAATTAGGTACTGGTACCTATATCAGAGAAGCACTATTAGAAACATGCTGCCTTTTCAAACATTAACTGTTAAATTCCATCCAAATATGATCAATATTCATCTAATTACATGAATTATGACTGAGATAAAGATGTGCCAAGGCTGGCATAGCAGTGTACACACTTATGTCTAGTGCTACCACTCTGCCAGCTATCAACAGATTTGTAGCCAAACACAAAATAGTGTAAAAACTTTTAAACTTATTTATTATTTTGTGAGTGAAATGTAACCAGAAAATAACGTATAAAATAACAGTACTCATGTACCAACTCAACAAGATATATGAGTGTAATATGACGTGGAGAATCAAATATATAAATATTATATATAAGAATAAAATATTCTCCGCATAAACGGTCCGAACTGCCCGAATGTTAATGACTTCACCCGGACTTCATCTCAAAGCCGTGTGATTGCGTCGGGTGTGAACTTAGAAGCTAAGTGTTAAGTCTGTAAGAGGGGGGGGGGGGGTACTCATGACCCCCCCCCCCTGTATGATACAAACTGCAGCACATGGAATACCTACTTGGTATCTGGTTACCAAACTCTTGCCACCATTTGACAACCTTTTATCTACTTCTAGACCCATGTCCCAAAAATTGCTGCCGGATTTTCATAATAACTATAGATACTTTTACGAAAGATGTTTTCCTAATTCCCTGTTATAGTAACAGTATATCGGAAAAAAAGCATCCATCGTGTACCAAATTTTTGAAACTTGTACGAGGGGACGAGTTGTACGAGGGGACATAGCGTACGGCGACCACCGTCTCTATTATTTGTGGTTTCTTTATTCCCCAAACAGAGAGAGGAGTCCATCGACGTAGATTACATTCTCAAGGCACCTTACCTTATAATTTTAAACTTTCATTCATAGTTATATTTTTCGCTTGTGTAATCTGCTGTACATTTTCTTAAACTAATTTTGTCCTGATTTTTTTCAAAAGGCCAGTGAATTGTCACTGTCGCCAAGTATAATAACAATGTATGAATCTCAATCAGTACCAGACTAAAAATCCGGAATCGAACATGAGTACTTCGGTTCAAGTTAATAAAGTTTTGTCCCGCTACAGACACGTTACAGGTTCGGTCAAAATATAAGGGCTGCCGAAATGCGGTTGACGTGTGGTCAACTCCAAAATTAGTTGGACATTTTTACCACATACAGGGTGAGTTGAAAATAGTGTGTGGAAAGTAAAAATCGATAATTTTTTTTATGAAGGAGCAAATTTTGAAAGGTGAATTGCTAGGCCTTTTAAAAAATTTTATTCGATTTTGAAAATCTTGGACCTCAAAAAATCATCAAAAAACGAGGTACAAGATTTTCAAAATCGAATAAAAATTTTGTAAAGGCCTATCTCAAAATTCTGTCTGGCTCATCTCTTCTAAATGATCCTTAGAACATATACTGAAAGTTTCAGGGTGATTGCTTTAAAAATGTAGGAGAATATAGATTTTTAGACTCGATTTTCAGGGCACGCGACCAAAAATCGCTCGCGCAATACAATTACCACACACGCGCTGACCTTTGACCGGCAATAATTTCGGCTAGGAACGATATTTTTCCACGGCATAAAAAGCATCTGATAGATATTACTCCCCTCTATCAGAAACAACTAACTAAAAAGTCGATTTTGAGAAAAATTCCATGAAGACCCCCTGCCCCCATAATACAGTCAAGTCGGCTATAGACAATTGTCTTACACGTTATCAATATGTCCTAGCTAATAAAGGACGATGGGTTGAGCAAATTATTAATTATTAAGTATTTTAATTGTATTATTATAAAAAGTATATATTTTCATTACCTAAATATGCAAAAATTAAGTGGAAATTTCATTTGTCAAAAAAATTAAAGCCATTTACTTTCCACACACTATTTTCAACTCACCCTGTACATATAATATGTTGATAAAACACATATTATACAGTATGGTAAATTTGACATAACCAGGCTTCGTGCCTAGTATTTTCTACTCCGTACCACACGCAGTGGACAAATGATATTTCAGTTCCGAACAAGATTCGACCCCATTTCGACTAGAACAGTATCTGCTTTTATGCAGGATACCCTAGGCCTACTCAGTTTTCGTGAATCTAAACTACTTATCATCGAAGTAAAAGTTAAAAGGTATCGCGTCGTAAGATTTCAAACACAAGAAATCGTTTCCCAAGAATAAAACATGTAAACTTTGTAAAGTCAACTTGTCAATCCGTTGATTAGAAATTTGAATTTAGATTAGGTTGAGAATATGGTTCCACTTCATGAATTTAAAAAGGAAACGAAAAGCTACATATCGAATTCATGTTATGATTATCAAAGGTTAATATTATTATTATTATACATCAGAATTCGAATCAATCTTCTGAATTTGAAAACGTAGGTTTGTAGTCGAATGCTTTCATCATTTTTGCACAAACTTTCTCAATAGTTCTCCAATGAGGCTCAACCAGTTTCTCCTTCCAGCTGTTCGAAATTTCACTAGTTTGTCTCTCCACTCCATACCATCCATTATCAATCTTCCCTCTGTCTTTTAGATGAGTTAAATTGTAGACATATTCTTGATACTTGGCAGTGTATTTTACTCCTATGAAATGCAACAGTTCTCGGGTCCAATGTTGGGGATGATCTGCTAAATCCTCGTACCTGACCATTTTGTACCGTCCTTTCAGCCAGGGTGGAGGGTTCATGCCTAGTTTATAGTTGTAAAGATGATGAGAACACAGGTGATCAGCTGCTCTTGTCATGTAAGCTTCGTCGTATCCAAATTGACCCAACTTGTAGTTTTCCATTCGCATTCCTAACAACGCATTGCCATCAAATAGCTCGGAAAACACAGTCATTCGAGAGTTCATAACAGCTCTAGGATCTCTTACAAGATGAATGACTTTGAAATCTTCGCACCCGAATTCATTGATTCTATGCATCTTCGACATGTTATAGTACCTAATGGTCTTGGGTACCATCATTGAACCCTCTTCTGTACATTTAGTTCTGGCTAGGCTCTCATTAGACGGGCCTACTGAATCCGGATTCATCCGCTTTCCTTTGTACCACAGTCCGCGAATGGTCCCATATTTCCTGTCGGATTTACCTGGTATTTTTATACCGTACCAATCACATAAACAAATCCGAGCTAAGATGACCTCGTGCCAATCATCATACTTTACTGGATCGAAGCCCTCTGCAAGTGCTTCATTTCTAATCTCATCAGAAGTTGCGTACATCTTGAGGAATCCACCACAGTTAAGCGGCTCAAAAACAGGGACAGCATCGTCCTTGTATCCTAACATGTCCATCAGCCAGGTAGATCCATGTCGGCTCTGGGTCAGAACTAACACCATTTTTGGTTTTCTGTGATTAGTTTGGTCTTTTTCTTGAGCCGTTTGAAATGTGTTCTCATTTTGCTTATTAGAGTCGGTTTTGTCAAGTTTATCGTCTAGATTCTGCAAAGGCGTATTGGGTTTAGGATCATTTTTCATCTTCTCTCCTAACAGGCGTTCATCTTCATTAACCTCTTCGATGACAATTGTTGTTATATTTCTGTCAACCCCTCCCCATCCTTCCTCATGCTCATGCTCACTCCCCTCCATCACGATATTTGGTGGTGCTGCAGTGCCTCCCCATCCCTCCTCATGCTCATGCTCACTCCCCTCCATCACTATATTTTGTGGTGCTGCAGTGCCTCTAAACAAATTCTCAATAAGCTGCTCCTCCCACATCTTCTCTATTTCTCTCAACACCAAGGCTTGCTGGATCTGTTCATCGCCAGTGCTCAATTTCTGACTTGAAATTGAAATGGAGGCAGTAGACATCAACTTGAACTTAATAATTGTATCACGAAAGTAGCACGCAAGAAGAGCGGTGTTGATCAGAATGATAAAGAGGACCCAGAGAAAGAATCTACCGAAACTCATGATGATATATTAGTAGCTAATCCACTCCACTATTAGTAGCTAATCCACTCCAGTTTGTAGGTTTAAGTCACCTTTGGTTGGGCATCGTTCCTTAACTGTACATTTTCTTTTTGATTCCACAGTGGACTGATGCCACTTACCTGAACGAAATCGTGATTAATCTTGCTGAATACGGCTTTCAATAGGGTTATCCTAGACTACTAAGTCTAGATTAAATACACAATCTATTGCTGAAAAATAGTTGAGGTCGCAACGTGAGACGTGAAGTTTAAATTTAATGCCACCTGAGGATCCTCTAATTTACATGTACACCATCCAATAGTGAAGACTAACGATTACTCTTACCAGATAGCATGGCTTATTACTAGCTGCCATTAGCATCATCCGGATAACTATAAACAGCCATTCGCCAACTAAAAACCATTCATATCTTGCTAATATTTTAGATTTTTTCGCTCTAAAAGTAGTATTTACACCTCATAGGCTGAACCTGGTACCTATTGGACGGTGACTAACAAATGACTAGGCCATCAAGCAGGATTAAACGTAGTAGGATACACTTACAGTTACATCGCTATAACTTCTGCTTTGAGTGTGACGTACTAGAAATATTGATACGAGATGTATATAATATTCTGGCTCCTATATTTCAGTCACATAATGATTTAAAAATTAAAATGTCCCTTTCTTCAGCTCAAACAGCTTTTAATAAGGGTTGTGCTAGCTGTGGTCAATGCTAGAAAATGGAAAACTTAAAAAATCCGTACTCCTAGTAAACAGAGTACAATGTGTCTGATGTCACAGTTAGGCTTAAAGTTACTCTTAGCTTGAATAAAGCCCCGTCTTAATCCGGCTAATAAACAGGCATATCTTGAATTATCGCCGGTCATAGTCTTGCTAGAGGTAATTGGAAACCAATGATATAAATTATACGACCAGGCAATAAAATCACAAATTACCTATTCGATAAAAACAATGATTTTGAGGGTACCCATCACCTGTGCGGTTAAGCTGCGAGTCAAAGATTAACATGAAATATAGATCGTTGAATGAAGTATAAATTCAATCCTAGGAGTTGTATGCAGGGTTAGACTTACATTCATGATTATGCGGTATTATTGATCATGACTAATGATTTACTGCTCGAATGATTCGCTGGGTTTGCTTTTAATAATATCTACGGCTACGCTTAGTATCTCCAAATCTTCGTGTCCGATGAAAAAAATTAAACATTTTAAAGCAAAAATAGACAAGGGGCTATTAAATGTAAAAGTAAACTATCGCTGCAACTTAATTAGGGGTCGTTCACATATTACGTAATCAGCTGAGGGGGGGGGGGGGGGGGGCGGGGGGTTCCGAATGATTACGCTAGTGTATTTTGACATAATAGCTATGTGTAAAACTGATTACGGAGGGGGGGGGGGGGGGTAAAAATGTTCCAAAAAATGATTACGTAATATGTGAACGACCCCTTATAAACAACAAAATGTGAATAAATGCACATTGCATATGCATAAATATAGGCATCAATACAAGTGTGAAGTGTCTACTGATAAAATTTGAAAATATATTTAGTGTTAAGGTAAAATAATAACTTAAAATGCAACGAACGCAACAGACCACTAAAAATGAAAAATATCATTTTGACAGTAACTATTAGCAGAAACTATATTATCGCAGTTGAATTACACGTTAACATAATTGTCAAAGTGAAGTAAGAAATGACCCCAATACTTTAAGTTTAACATAATCGATTATAATGCACGACACTACGCTGCAGACTTACAAATTCGGGCATTTTGGATCCGTTATCATTATTGCAACAAATTACACCGCACGCTTTGCAGGCCGCTCATCTGAATGGGTCAGGTAACATGATTAGGCCACTTTACTCTTTTACTGTAAGTTGAGATTCAAAGATCGAAGCTGGGTTTATAATTTGAATATTCGGAGACTTTGTTCGTAGGCGCCTGGAGAAGAAATGTTTTTAATATAACAAGCTGTCGTACTGTCATATCTACTTTTAGTTTTACTTTTACAACTCTTCTTACTTTTAGGTGGTTCCTGGGACTATATGTACGACATATTCTATATATACATATATATATATATATTTTATAATTATAAACGTTTCAAGTGGCAAATTAGATCCCCAGAAAGAATTCATAATTCCCTAACTATATTAGATTACAACAGCATGATTTGCAAATGCTTTTTATAAGTAAATAGTAACATATTACTACATAATATGTTATAGTAACACAACATATTAATATTTATTTTGTGACGTTACTATATAGTATATAACATGAAAGGCAAAGCAACTACAAACTAGACGATGCGGAAAATCATGAATATAATATTCACCGGGAACCATGACGATCAATATTCAATGAAATGAAAATAAAAATAGTATGTAAATGTAATATGGCAAGGCGTGTAATATCATAAGTGCACTGCCAGACGCCAGTGGAAAGAGTATGGAAATGAGAGCAAAAAGACACCTACCTTATAGTTATACCTTAATCACGATGGAATAGTAGCCCTACTCGGACTCCTACTCCTAGTGTATGTATCACACCGAAATGGCGTAATGCACCCAAAATCCACTTAATTAGACGTTCCGGTGGCGGTAGAGCAGCTCTCCAGTCTCTCTAGCTCTACATCATGATCTCCCTTCACTTGTCACTTTGATCCGCAACTAGAGACTGATTTCAAAGCTAAGGACCCAGCATTTTTTCCCAATTTGTTGCTCCCTAAAAATGAACCTCCTTGCGCCCTTCAAGACATATTAATGCCAATACTTCAGTGACAGTGATGTTTTCTTCTCAAAATTGTACGTAATAATATTTAATGTCGCCCCCGTTCGGATCCAAATAGCGCAGAAGTTAGGTCCGGCCGAGCGCGAATAGTGATCGATAAGTTATACTGTTGCATTGGGAGATGACTTGTTCACACAGAGACATGTCAAATGGTAAACGAAGTTATCGGGAAATATCTGCAAACCAAATAACAGCTGAAGTCAAATGATAACACAATACACATATTGACTAAAAGTTTATCTTTAATGGACAGGTCACGAACAGTGTATTATTGGAAGAAGTTTCACCAATACAGCCTCTGGGCCTCTGATAGGGGCTAGGGCCCCATCGGCCCTGTCTAAAATATGTTTTCAATTTCGCTCAGGATATATATTATATTGCGACTGTGCAAACATTATAATTATATTTATATATGTATCATAATAACATTGAATTGCTTTCTTTAATTTTATGAACCGAGAAGCTATATTCGAAAAAATAAGTATAAATCTACACAAATTAACGGCTAAAAACCAATTGTATATTTGTAACTATGTTAAGATGTATCAGTATATAGTTATACTGATACATACTAATTTCTAGCGTATTTCGCCCACAGTTTATTTTCCCGTATCGTGCTCTGCTGATAGTAGTCTCTCTCTCTCTGTTCTGGTCAACGGTTTCTGGCCTCTTACTATACGAGGGAAGCCTTCTCGCCGTGCCCACAGAATGCAACTCCTGCTAGCTGCACGCCAGGACTCCCAAAGTATATACGAAATCATAAAATAATAAACATCAATGCAACAGACCCCTGGAGTCTTGAAGCTGTCACTACCTGTCTCAGAGCAAACCCACTTCCGTTGTAGTACTTCTGCGGGCAGACAAGGGACTTCCGAGCAAGGTCAAAGCCTGGGAGATATGTCTCTATGCGGAGATGGGCCTAGGTTGAGCTCCTAGTATGGGATTTAGCGAAAGTTCCTGGTGAAGAATCCTAGGAGGTTACCCAAAAGGGTTTTCCCTATCCAGTCTTGTCGACTGTTCCACAAATTTGAAGATATGATTGTAGTTCACTGTTATTAAGGTAGAGTTTACCAATTATCCTCATTCTGAACGTCATGATCTGGATGCACTTGCAGAGGAGGTGCTGGGATGTTTCTGATTCTCCTGAAAAGTGTTCACAATCTTGCGTCTCGAAGTTGACGTTGTTTGCCACGTTCTGAAAATAAACTAGTGGGCTGTGACCTATCCTGAAAACGACCATGTTAGCCATCTGATGTGTGTTCTAGAAAAATTAAAGTTCCTGTATTTATAGTTGTGTCCGAGGAACATCTCAAGTGGAATGTTCCTTTGTCACTGAGTGTGGCCTATTTGGGAGGAAGGGTTCTGGTCCTATGGGGATGCTGTTGGATTGAACGTCCCTTGCGAATTCGTCCACTAGGTCTTTACCGTATACTCCTTCATGTCCTGGAACAAAGTTCTACTCGATGAGAAAACCTAGCGAGTTGAGTTGGTCTAAGATGTTCAAAACGAACCTGGAGTTAAAATTGGTGCTGTTAAGGGCTTTAAATGCAGCCTGGGAATCTGAGAGGAATTTTATGATTGATTGAGATCCTAAGTTATCATTAGTCCAGATACTTGCCATATATAACGCAAATAGCGGGTACGATTTCCTCAATAACCTGAAGAAGAAATATCTGTCCTGAATTGATACCATGTAACGTCGAGCTTAAAAAAGAATCAAAAGTTCGAGTAAATCGTTAAACGTTGTATGTCCTATTTGCATCCCCTAAGCATTGCATTGATGTTTATTCCTGGTCCGGTTAGCTTTGCGTCTCAGAACTAAAGAGGTCCACTATGCTTTAGCGAGCTATGCTGTCCACCAGGGTACTGTAGATCTAAGGGTTCCCCGTGTAATGGGGCAGGCTGTGATAAAGCATCTCTGCAGGATGTCCGAGATGAACTGTTTCGAGCGTTGAGATCTTCCGCTGTAGAAACTGAATAGAACCAGTAAGGGTGTCAGTCAAACTCTGCTGCTACTAGATGATTGTAGAGCGTCCAGTCACACTTCAATAAAGCGTGTGGCAAAGCTAACCCGGTCCCCTGAAAAGTGGTTACTGGAGGAAGAAGTGCCAGGAATTCTCGTTATCAGTGTGTCCTCGTAGTCAGAGTTGAAATCCCTAATTCTGTCTTATCACGAGCCTGTGTCTAGCGTGTGTCAGCCCTTACGCATTAGCTGTCTTAACTGAAAAGACCTGAAAAGTGGTTACTGGAGGGAGAATTGTGCCAAGACTACTCATTGAGCGAATTGGAATCCCTAGCTCTGTGGTGGGTGACTTCGATGGGACCTGAAAGCTGAAAGAGAATTTCCTGGTGATTTAATAACTCTTAGATGTTAGAGCTAGGTATCTGTGTCTAACGTATCGTCATTTGTGTGTGTACTATCTTGTAACCTGATATCTGAAAGAGAAATTTCCTGGTGCTTGGTAGCTGTTAGTGTTAAATTCCTGGTTCCTATGGGAGCTTTGAGTTGGCAAGTCCCAACCTTAGTACTCAAGAGAGCACACCACCCGTTAGTGCCAACCGGCTCTTACTAAATCGCTCGCCCAAAAATTTCACGTGACTTTGGTTTTTTTGGTTTTGCAGCCGTACAAAACGGTTTTTACATAAACCCTAATTCCAACCCTAACCATAACCCCGAAGCTATCCATAATCTTAACCACAACCCTAACCCCAACCCGAGCCCTAAATAATCGAATTCACGTTTTACTAGCCTGTCACGTGACCTAAACGGTTTTTTGCCCATAACTCTCCAGGGAAGCATTTTAACCCTACGTCATGGGGGGTGATTCGGAATCAGCGTTCAAAAATACACCTATGTAGATCACTTTCATGCCTAAAGGGCCTTTTCACAAGAATTTTCTTAAAATTTGGGCGAGCGATTTAGTAGGAGCGGTGCCAACCAGGCCACGCCACGTGGAGGTTCGGAGAGGATTTCGTGACCCTGCTGATAGTTGTAAAGTGATTACTGCAGTAATTATTCGTAATTACAAAAACAGTGGAAGATGCACTATTTCTGAAAAGCGAACCTACTACGGATTATGATTAATTTTCAATAGAAGTCTTACGCCTAACTTGTATCACGTGGTGACCCCCACGGTCGCTTCCCTATAGCGTCTTCGACGCTACAGGGGGAGCCGCGCACTTCGTGCGCGGCGGGTCATACAACGTATGACAACGCCTAACCAGCTAGGACAGTTGGGTGATACCTAAAGATGCAATGTTTAAATCTATACACGCGTATATAGAAACGATTTATATTTTATCATTATCAATAAACTTACTATTAGCATTTCTGTTTATTGCCGGCCCGGTTAGGAATGTTTTCAGCAACCAAATGTTAAATAAATACATTTTCGTAGCCACCGACAATCGACATGGATCAAATCAAAGAATGATTAAAAATTTCGCCCCAGGTCACAGGTTGGACGCAAAATAGTGCAAGAAACCGAATTCTTAAGGCTAAGCCACTGGGGCGACTCACATTTATGATTTAGTACAATTCTGAGAATAAAGTAGGGGCGACAAGGGGCGACATTTGTACACTTTTACGAACAATTTTGCTTAGAACACCTCCTCCAATAAGCAATACTTTGATTCAAATTTTAAGCATTTTTTATCTTGTTGTATCTTACTTGAACTTCATCATCTACCTAATATCTATTATGTATTAACCAAATTGAATTATACCAAATAAAACGATTGATTAGTCTAACAGAATATTCCATTGTAGATTGACAAAATTAAAGAACTCATAGTTACCATGTCAATCAGACAAACATTAAAGATTTCGAATGTCCGATAACACCGAATATTCCACAATAACAATGAATTTCACTCAGTTTCACAGAGTTCATTGGTAGGATTGCGCGGCTCTAAGTAGTTGCACGTGCTGAGCCGCGCATTTCCACCGAACCAAATTATAGCATATTTGAATTTTGATCCATACCGAACCAAAGTATCCCACCAAATTGACTGAATTCACCTTGGGATTAGAGGTATGCGCCTCGCGTAATTCGTGCACAAACGTACACAAACAACTCATCCACTCTGACATTATCACGAGAAAAATAACTCTTAAATAAACAAAAACAATATCAAACATATAGAATATCCCTTATCAGTACAATAAAACATCTTAATAGTTATACAAATCAATACATTATAGTTGTCAAGTTCACCAGATCTCGTGCTCAGAGGAGCGACCGTCTAGTGAAGTTGCAGGCCCTAATTCTCAAAACCCCGAAAAATTTGATAAATAAATATGAGGAGGAAACTTATGTATTATTTAATGCTTTTAAAGTAATACATGTCGTTCTCAAGTTCGAACTAAAGTTGATCAAAGGATAAAAAGTGTCGCACTCTTCTTTTCTCATAATGTCCTAATCGTCGAAATAGTTGGTTTTGAAAGTAAAAATTTCATCAAAAATATGAGATAAATCAAGTTAAAACCTTGAGTAAAATCTAGCAATAACTATAAAAATGTTTAGACTTTTCCGATACGACATGAACAGGTAAGATTATGCATAAGGAATTAAATCAATCAATTTCACGATTAAATTAAGATGAAAAGTAAGATGTAAGTGTGAAAAAATCAAAAACTTGACAGGATTATAGGATTATCCAAGAAAATTATTCAAGGAAATGTGCTGATAGAAACGCTGTTTTTAAGGGTGAGGCTGTCACTTGTGAAGAAAGTTTTTAATTCTGCCCTACAATTTAGGTGATGCAGTAAATCTTCTAATAAGAATAGCAGATTTGAAAAGGAGGATTAATTTATCTAGGAATTAAAATCAGAAAGATCAGAAAAATCAAAAACTGTGATGTTGTCAGGTATTATTAATGTGTAAGACGTAAGTGTAACGATAAGACGCGCTTCAAGGCCGTAGAACAGCGTATGTTAATTGCAATTATGCAGTTCAAGTACTATTACAGCACATCTACATTGTACACCAATTGCACATTCGAGATGGTGGACAGTTGGCATCAAACTTTAGGCATGCAGGAGATAAGACTTCTGAGCCAAAAATAAATAATCATTTATGAATGGTGAGTGGTGACCTTTGATAGAATATAAATTAGGAATGATAAGAAACACAGCTAGAAACGTATCGAGATTAACTTCTCAGTACAAAATACCTTCAAAGGTTCTAATGTCTAATAAAAAGCAGTGACATTATTATGATAAAAGTGCATGTTGTAGGATACCTTAACTTGAGCAGACTGCGCAGGCGCGCAGCATCAGCGTGCAACTTTATTTAGTGTTTAGTAATGATTTGTAAAATTACTGCACGATCATACCGCCCAGCAGCTACAGGACAGGTCTTTTAAGTTTTTAACTGATGTGGTTATTCAGAGACCAGTAGAATTTGCCAAAAGATATCACCATCGGAGATAAACAGATCTGGACGCTAAGAAGGCGGTCCAGGAAGGAATAGAGTCCTGCATTGAGCTCTGCATCTTGAGTCAGGTACTCCCGAAGGTTCCTGTCAGGTGCTCCTGAAGGCTCCTGTCAGGTGCTCCTGAAGGCTCCTGTCAGGTGCTCCTGAAGGTTCCTGTCAGGTGCTCCTGAAGGCTCCTGTCAGGTGCTCCCGAAGGCTCCTGTCAGGTGCTCCTGAAGGCTCCTGTCAGGTGCTGCTGAAGGCTCCTGTCAGGTGCTCCTGAAGGCTCCTGTCAGGTGCTCCCGAAGGCTCCTGTCAGGTGCTCCTGAAGGCTCCTGTCAGGTGCTCCTGAAGGCTCCTGTCAGGTGCTCCTGAAGGCTCCTGTCAGGTGCTCCTGAAGCTCCTGTCAGGTGCTGCTGAAGGTTCCTGTCAGGTGCTGCTGAAGGTTCCTGTCAGGTGCTCCTGAAGGCTCCTGTCAGGTGCTCCTGAAGGTTCCTGTCAGGTGCTCCTGAAGGCTCCTGTCAGGTGCTCCTGAAGGTTCCTGTCAGGTGCTGCTGAAGGCTCCTGAAGGCTCCTGTCTCTAACCGCGCAACTGTGTAGGGTTGAAGAGCTAAGGTTTAATTTTGTGACGCTTTTGACGATGTCACTAGGACTGTCACCGAGAAAAATCCTCTTCAAGGGTTACGAATGTTGAGGAAACACTTGATGTTTCCCTTCGCGTCTGATGTGACGAATATCTGCGGGTAGAAAATGTCATTAGTCAAATTACACCTTTAAGCTCTTGATAATTGGATGAGCTAGAACAAAAACTTGTTTTAGTGAATGACCGGGCGCTGAGTTTTTTATTTTGAATCGGAGAGTCAAGACAGTCAATGAAGCTTTATCACAGCGTTATCAGCTATATGTGATGAAATTTACATGCTGAATAATCAAATCAAGACTTGGGGTAGGGTTTGAGAATAAAATATTAGACTGTCCGCAAACCTCCTCTACAAACAAACAAACAAACAAACAAACAAACAAACAAACAAACAAACAAACAAACAAACAAACAAACAAACAAACAAACAAACAAACAAACAAACAAACAAACAAACAAACAAACAAACAAACAAACAAACAAACAAACAAACCTCCTTAACAAATCCCTCGTTATCCGTTAGAGCCTCAGGGGCGAAGGTAGCGCACGTGACCCGCGACGCGTGCGATCTGAAGCGGTGGTAACAGTCGTTCTTGTCCCGCCGCAACTGCCGTTTTAACGGTCCTGCAGGTGAGATTTTAGTGTGGAATTGTTCAATCTTTATCGTAGATAAATCTGTCAAAACATGTTGGATAATCATGAATCGACACTGAACTTCCAAATGCTAAAACACAACTTCACACTGCGTGACAGAACGTGACATACCTTTGCTGGAGGCATGGCTGAAGATTTTGTAGTGGGTTTCAGTTTCCCAGAAGTAGCAGAAATTTTTTTCATCCCCGCTGATAATGATTTTGCCATCGTGAGAAAAGGAGGCTTTTATCTGAGAGGACACGTTTAGGAATCCTTTGTACTTGCAGGTTAGCTGCCAGTTCTGAAACAAATTAATTAGTTAATTAGGTAACATTATGTCATACAGAGTCATTTTAGGCACGATACGCTTGCAAAAGGATTTAAGTAAGTTTTAAGTAAGTTTTATTGAGTATTTGATTCTATTTCTATGACGTATAGAATTCAATTCATAGCCAGCACTCATTGGTCAAAAATCATTTTTTACAGAAAATTAAAATTTCTATTTGTCCGGCGATGGTGAGTTAAGAGAGGGTTGAGCTGTGCTGGATCGAAATTACGTCAGATAACGCAAATCGCACCAACTCGATTTTGCGATGTTGATATATCGCATATCACGTGACCAGATAATGATCACGTGACAAGGCAAACGTAAGCTGAATCATTGTTTTGAGAACCCCACGAAAAGTGTCCGCTGCTATTATCCCATATTCAGTCGAAGGCTGATAATAGAATCAATTCATCATATATCTGGAGCTCGAGTAGGTCTGTAGAAGTTCGTTGTTCGAATCGCGACACCTTGGGTTTTATGTTTTTCTTGATTTGTACAAGAGAACGATATAATCTATTAATTTACAATCTGCTCCTTAAACATGAAGGGTATATACTATTATATTCTATCATTCTAAACATTCTGAGTTCCGTCAAGTTTTCACAAAATGCGTAAAGAATAAAGAATTCAAAATATCTATCAGGCTATCACATGTTAAAGTTAGTGTGCCTCCTTCTGACGCTAGCTCTATCAGCCAATGGTCGCGGCAACCTTACTCCTAGAGTACCGGTCAACAAGCTAAAAATATCATATACCACCTCCGAGACGACATCCTCAAAGACGTCCTCCTCCAGCATGACCACTAAAACCACCACCACCCAAAAGCCAACTACCAGCAACATTACCACCTCAACTTCCAAGGCAAGCACTAGCACCTCCTTCTTCACAACACCCGACACCACCGTCATCACCCCTGCTTCTACCTCAGATTTCTACACCCTGACTTCGCCTGAGGAACGTCGCCGGCCTCGTGGAGGCTCGTTCCTGAACGGGCTCGATCAAGGAAATGGATCTGGAGCTACTGCTCTTTCTACCCTCTGCATTGTTGTATCGGTGCTTTACGGATAGCACACCTACCAAGAGCACACTGGCGCTGAATGTGCTACTATTGAGATATGAGGCTATAATTATACACGAGGAAATTTAAGCAGATATGTTTAAGGTTTATAATCTGAAATGTTTTGTCAATCTTCTCGATAGTGTTTCGAAGAATCGTGTGTGACTGGTCGAACGTCGGCAGTCATTGTTTTCAGAACCCAAGAGAAAGGATTAACATATTATTCCGTATATGGATGTACGATGATGATAGAGCCAATTGAGCATCTCAGGCAATTCTGGACAGAATATTGAAAGCTTGTGTTTTACAATTAAGTTCAGGTAGCGGATGTAAATAGTGTACTTTAAATTGAGACACCTTTGGTTTTACTTTTGTTGGTTCATATCGAACAAAAATATCCAATAATATCCGGGTTATGGTTAGGGTTATGGTTATGGTTATGGTTAGGGTGAAGGCTAACCCTGACCCTGACCCTGACCCAAACCCTGTTCGAAAACATCTGTTCGGAAACAAATGTCGGGTTACTTGGATACCGCCTAATTTCCTATATACTGCAAGACAGGGCACAAATTGTTTTTTTTTTTCATTTCGAGAATTCCAATTTTATAATGGTTGCCGCAAAATTATATCCAATTTAAATGTAACCCACTTTATATTCCTAGCAGGATAAATGATCAGAGTAGTGTGTCTACTGTTAATGGCAGTTCTGCTAGTCTGTGGTCACCATGGATTTATAAATGGTCTCCGTTATAACCATATGGTAATAAAAACGGAACCCAGCTCCAGTTCCCAAATCAGTGCCACCCTTCCTAACAGTTCCTCAAAAACTTCAACCACCACAAGTCCTACACCAAATACCACTCCATCCCCAACTACCACTCCATTGTCTTCTACTCCTACCCCAACTACCACTCCATGGCCTTCTACTCCTACCCCAACTACCACTCCATTGTCTTCTACTCCTACCCCAACTACCACTCCATGGCCCACTTCAACCCCAACTACCACTCCATTGTCTTCTACTCCTACACAAACTACCACTCCATGGCCTTCTACTCCTTCCCCAACTACCACTCCATGGCCTTCTACTCCTTCCCCAACTACCACTCCATGGCCCACTTCAACCCCTCCTACTTCTTCAAATTCCTACACCCCAACCAGTTCCAGTATTATCAAAACATGGAAATCAGGCAGCTCAAACAAGAGCAGAGCTTTTACCGCCTTTGATGAGACGATCCGGACTACGAACAATAATGATTCCAGCAGCCAAGAAACCACCTCAACCTCCGGTACAACCACCTCTAGCAGCCAAGATACCACATCAACCACTGGGACGTGGACAACCCCCGTCACCAGCCAAGAAACCACCTCTAGCAGCCAAGATACCACCTCTAGCAGCCAAGATACTACCTCTAGCAGCCACGAAACCACCTCAACCACTGGGACGTGGACAACCCCCGTCATCAGCCAAGAAACCACCTCTAGCAGCCAAAATACCACCTCTAGCAGCCAAGAAACCACCTCTAGCAGCCAAGATACCACCTCTAGCAGCCAAGAAACCACCTCAACCACTGGGACGTGGACAACACCCGTCATCAGCCAAGATACCACCTCTAGCAGCCAAGAAACCACCTCAACCACTGGGACGTGGACAACCCCCGTCATCAGCCAAGATACCACCTCTAGCAGCCAAGAAACCACCTCTAGCAGCCAAGAAACCACCTCTAGCAGCCAAGAAACCACCTCTAGCAGCCAAGATACCACCTCTACCAGCCAAGATACCACCTCTAGCAGCCAAGAAACCACCTCTAGCAGCCAAGATACCACCTCTAGCAGCCAAGATACCACCTCAACCACTGGAACGTGGACAACCCCTGTCACCAGCCAAGAAACCACTTCAACCTCCTGGGTGGAGACCATTAGCTCCACTGAATCCACACCATTCACTACCACTCTAACCAGTCCTGGTAAGACGGAGCCTGAATCTGAAACTGGTGACGATGGCTTGGGCACTGTGCTGAGAGGAGTGGAGATCAAGAAGGAGCACTATGGAATCAAGTTTGCGGCCCAGGAAAGTGGAATAGAGTTTGCTGCCCAGCAAAGTAGAGCTAAAGTCGCAGTCTGGTCAGGTGTTTGCGTCGTTGTGGTGACGTTTACTGCTTTTGGATAGGACACTTATAACTTGCGTCGAGAATTGACTATGTCAATAAAGTTGGGTTGTTTTGATTATTGCTTTTGAATTTTTGAAAATTTTGCTGATTTATTTATAAATTTATTTAGGTTTTAAATCTTTTAAAAAATAAATTTAGATTATTTTAAGTGTTGCGCTATCGTCATTCAATTTTGGGAACTTTTAGAATAAAATGGCGAAAAAAATGGAAAATATGTTCGCTTTTTTTGGCGTTAATCCTAAAATTTTGGAATAAATTTCGAGTAGCGATAACGCAACCTGAAGTTTCTTATCATCGACAAATGCTTTTGTTTCTTGAGAATTTTTCTAGCTGTTTTTGACATAAAAATAAAAAATTGTATAAAAAAATAAATTATCTAAATCATTTAAAATCAAATAAAAATATGCTGTAACTTGATGTAATTCCTTGGTTTTAATTTCATGGACACTGAACCAGTGTAAATCTCACTGGTTCTCCTACTTTACCCGATTCGTTCCTTTTTCCCCCGATTATGCATCTCGCCCTTTCAGAAACACTAACACAATCAATTATTTACACTTTACAGGGTCACGTGAGCTCTAAATCTTTCAAGCACTAAGTGCTAAATCAGGACATTCGTCATCTAATAATTATCATGTCATCTCATAGATTAAAATAGATATTAAAGAACAAACAATAATAGCAATACTAACATCAACGTCGTATAGTCTGATACGGCTATCATTGGAGGTAACGAGTATGTTGGTGCTATTTGGCCGCTGTTCTATGCTAGTGATTTTCCTGGCATTCTTACTCCTGTTTCCCCTGAACATAATAATTACATTACTAAAGGCAGGAGTCTAAAGTCAATTTTAGCAAGACTGATTGAGGGGCAAAAGCTGGCTATGGGGTAAAAGATCTGGGGCACAAAGTCGTGAGACGAGTTATCAAGGGATAAGGAATGTGTAAACAGTTTGGGGAGGGTGCGGCCCCCCCTCCCCCCCCCCCCCCCCCCGGGAGGCTACCACATCAATGCCCATGCTCGTTTGACCAAAAGTTGAGGAATAAATAGGCATGAATATAACTGACCTGATATCAAGTGCTGTGTGATAGTCGAGGGTATTAGATGCCGTGATGTCAAGGACGGTTATTCGACCGTCGTAAGTTCCAACAAATGCTCGGACCTTACGGTTACCGTACGTCACGAAGTTAACTGCCGTTATCAGCGCGTCACTGTTGTTTCGGGGCTCCAACTGATTGAGACAAAATATGACGAGGTTTATTAGACTTCAGAAAATAGCAATTCAAAGTAAAATGCATTTATGTAAGAAAAAGGAATTTATCATAAAAAGAGAGGCAGTAATTTATCCTGCAAAACCGAAAAACAAAGCAAATGAGATGAAAGACAAGGAAACTCTTCACACATACCTTGTAATGAGACTGGACCTTGCGAGCGTGGATGTTCCAAAGTTTTACCCGGCCATCCAGACATCCACTGAGAAAGAGGACATCACTGAGAGGGTGGAATACCACCGTCGGGACTACGTCAGGGTGGGGGAAACATGCGATCTGGATTTGCTACAACGGAATGAGAGACATTAAAAGATTGTGTGCAGTAAAAACGAATGTTTGAAAGAAGTTTTGACCGTTCAAATTCGTCGGTTTCAAATTTTTGATCTTTAAAAGTTTAAAACGCAAGTGTTTAAAATAAACGACAGCTCCTGTCGTGATAAAAAGTTAAAAACGGAGATGCCGGTCATACGTAGAGATATACGGAAAGGCATGCAATAATTGTAAAAAGAAGAGTCAAATACCACAACTCACCCTAGCTATGTGCCAAAGCCGGACATTCCTGTCTGTTCCGGCTGATAGTAAGAAATACATCTTCTTACTCCAGTTCAGATCGATAATGGGACCCTCTGATCCTCTGAACACTCTGAAAGGTACTGACTCGAAGTAACCTCCGTCGTCATCTGAGTTGCGAGTTGGGGGTGTGTCGTGTTTGTTCTGAGTAAAATGTGGTCGGGTTCAAAGGGATTCTCACATGTTTGAGTGAACGGTAACAATGTTACTGTAACATGCCGAAGTATAAATATTTGTGTGTCGGAATTTGGATCATAAGCAGTTCACGATTTTAAAATGTTAAAAATAACATGAAATGGAAGTTAACAAGCCTCATGATTTGGTTCGGAATTGGATATATTATGTTGTTTTGTACCTTGAGATAATATTTCTCGACGAAGTTGTCCCAGACTGATTTGAGGACCCAAATGTTGATGTTCTTATCATCACCAGCGCTTGCTAGCACCTTACCCCCCGGGGACATCTTCATCACCCAGATAGCTTTCACGTGAGCTTTGTTTATTGACTGTAGCTCAATCACGTTAAACCTGAAAACGGTTGAATTGATGCAAAGAGATTAACCTCGTTGGCAATTTAAATTCTTACTGTACCTTCTAGACCAATTGACCAAAACAGAAAAACAGTATCTAAGATGAACACCCTAATTGTGAACACGGGTTCGAAATCTTCGTATGTTAATTATCTTTACAACTGATATCGCTATCTCTCTTGCAAGGTATAACATGGAACTTTCTAGATTATGCATTACAGTCCGGGTCTTTAACAAACTTTAAAATAGACATACTTTGCATTTTCGAGTTTGTAGTTTTTGTAGGAGGAATTGGGGTAGACAGAGATGTCACCACTTTGCACCTCCCATTCTGCAGCACTTTCGTTCTCTTTCTTGTGTACTCGCATACTTTTAGACAGGTTCTTCACACCTTTTCCCATCCCTTTCATACCTTTCATTCCTTTTTTCGCGAAATTTTTCATTCGAGTTTTGGATTTTGGGGTATCTGTAGGATTGTTGGTACCGTGTTCGTCCTGGAGGTGAAGGGGAATATTAATATGATCATGGAGTGCGAATCTGGTAAAATCAGAGACAATTTCACAGGGAGATATATGTATACATTATATGTATAGTGTATACATTATATGACGTATACTGTATACATTACTGTCAGACTCACATACATCTAAAGTGGCGATAGTAGAACGAGATCCTTGAATGTAAGAGCTATTGTCACTGTCACTCTCATGCTCTGCTGCGTAACCGTACACTTCCGTCAAATGCTTGGATAAAGGATCAGCATCTGAAATGGCAGAGCGTTAACATTGGTTAACATTGTAGTGTTAACATTGGTTAACATTGTAGTGTTAACATTGGTTAACATTGTAGTGTTAACATTGGTTAACATTGTAGTGTTAACATTGGTTAACATTGTAGTTGTTAACATTGGTTAACATTGTAGTGTTAACATTGGTTAACATTGTAGTGTTAACATTGGTTAACATTGTAGTGTTAACATTGGTTAACATTGTAGTGTTAACATTGGTTAACATTGTAGTGTTAACATTGTAGCGTTAACATTGGTTAACATTGTAGTGTTAACATTGTAGCGTTAAAATTGTAGCGTTAACATTGGTTAACATTGTAGCTTTAGGGTTGGGTAATGGGTTATTTGGTTTACAGAGAGGTTGGAACCATGGATCGAGATAAGATGGTTACAAATTTAGAGAGGACAATTTGTGCAGATTTCAAGACTAATGATAAACATTAAACTTGCTGAACGATGTCTAGAGCGGTTCATACAACATATCCATCATTTTCCCTTTGACCTTTTGTTGCAAACTAGTCTTTGTGTCACTAACATTGCCTGCTAATTCTTGATCTAACAATATTATTTGAGAACGTTCACTACATTTAATGTGCATAAGTTTATGATCTCTATTTACAAATAATGTTTCATCCCAAGAACATTCCAAGAGAATATCTCCACCATATTACTAAATTTCATTAGAGGAAAGCCGGCCACCACTGAACTATACATGAAATTACAATACTCCACTCCCAGTCTGTGGGGGTCCCAGAGTTCACTGCTTTTACACTCTGAACGATGGCAGGAATTTGTCAGGTATTTCTGTTGTATCTCTTTACATGCTGCTTCTTTGTATTTCTTTGTATTTCAAGTCTCACTAAAAGGGCGGGTTATAAATAGAACCCCAACTTGCCACGTTGAGAATGGTACAGGGCACTTACTTGAAAAATGTTATGCACGTCACGTATTTTTAGTCAAACTGTACTCAGCTGTGAAAGCGTTCTGCTATTTTTCATATTGTGGTGCCAATTTGTACGAGAATCGTATTAAATACAGCAAACCTTTTAACAGTTCTTTTAGTAAACCATAGCATTTTCAATAAATATTATAATATTTTGAAATGGCGCTTATTTCAGACAAATTTGCACCCGATGCACCTGATTATTGAGTAATGAGTTGAGTAATATGTTTTTTACTGCTGTGAGCTTATCAGGTTTCCATATAATAGAGTACTTTTAGAAAAATAAGCCGCTGTATATGTGGCCTCGTAGAGTTTTTTATGCGTGTTATGCCTGATGACAGATATCAATAATTATATAGAGCCCTACTTAATCAGAAAAAGGTGCAAATTTAATGTAATTTCTTCTCTTACAAAATGTGGGAGCAGGCAGACAACACTCTCACAAGTATTACCTTACTTGACTACATCATTTTAGATGTTCTGTCCCGTTAAGAAGCATTGAAATTCTTCAGGCCACTTAAAAGTAATACCTGCCTGTTAATATACTGCACTTATAATATTACATTCCTTTTACACACCAGTTTTGTTTTCAGTCTCGAATGACGGCTTTGCAGTTTTACAGGTGTAAACTTCAAACTTCAAATAATGTTTCGATATGCCCAACAACATATCTGATAGCAAACGCCCTAAAAGATAAGCACCAAATGTCTAGTTTAGGTTTATCGAACCTCTTGGTTATTAGATATTCAAATTGACAAGAAACTTATACTTCTAAATTCTAAAACGGTTAAATACTAGCCAAGGAACCTTTTAGAATCTCTTCCATTTTGTCCATGGTTACTGTTTGACCAGTATCGAGACATTTAATCGTCATCATCGCCAGTAGTTCCTCTTCACTAATCTGAAATTTAATAAAATTAGTTATGATTTGTTTTACAATAAGTTTAACTCACATTTAAGAAAAATAATTTGAGTACTTCACCACTACTGTATATTAGAATAGAAAGAAATACCAGGGACAGAAAACCAGTTTTAAACTGATTTTCCGATTACCGATATAAAAAGTAGCTGATTTAAAAAAATTCTCAGCATCATGTTTATTCGTAAAGTTTCTGCCATAGTTATAAGATTATAAATAGGAACACATTTTAATTACGGAGTCATTCCCGGCCACGAGGATGGGTAAATTGTTTTCCTCACCTCCGGTGTTTTACTTTTAGGTGATGGTTGTGGTGGTTTCGATGGTTGTGATGGTTGAGGAGGTCTTGATGGTGTTGATGGTTGTGGAGGTCTTGAAGGTTGAGGTGGTCTGGGTGGGGGAGATGGCGCAGCGATGGTAGGTTCTGATACCTCGTTCACACTAGAGTCCTCCCCCTTGTCTGAAACGGAATGGTAATTTATTTATAACAAATTACCGAGGTAAATAACGCCAGAATGGTTGGTAGTGGGAAGAATGTAGAGATAAATTCCCAACATGTATGCAACATGTCGCACTGAAATAACGAAATTCCATTTAAAAAGTTTAAAATTCTGAAACATGTCGTTACCTGACTCCGGGGTCATAGTGGTGGTCCTGGCGGAGGCGAACGAGTCATTCCTAGAGCCATCCTTGAGGGGTGTCATGTCCGGAGTCCTGAACGGAGTGAGCATGTGGGAGGGGGTGCTGACTAGCGAGTCTGACTCAAGCTCCAGGTTCAGGTCGAACTTGGAGGGCATTTCACGGTCTGTTGACAGTTCTGTGGAGGGAAATTGTTAGAAAGTCAGGGATCAGGGTGTTTGGGTACTAAGTTTTGACTTTCCTTTGCTTATATAAATTTAGTTAATGTTGCAAGTACCCAATAATCAAATAAACCTACTCGGGTAATAATAGTGTTATTATAAATAATGAATGTTATTTCTGTCAGTATATACTTGTGAATCTCTTGTCAGGATTGTAGGGGCTATCCCTTAGATCAAAAAATAACCAAATAATCATTATCATTTGAGTCTGAACTAATCGCTATTCAATTAACACAAAAAGTGCAAATTATTAAAACGGACCACTCTGTCACAGACTCTGCACCTTGATACCGTGACTCCGAGTTCATTAGATTAAGGTGCTAAAATCCCTCTCCGCAGAGAGGGCATATTAATACGATTAATGTTTCCAAGGAGGGAACGCTCTTCAAATAGGATAATATGATATTATAAAAATACCTGGACACGTATCAATAATACACACGATACCCTTCCTGTATTGGGCGATCATTTTACATTGCAATCTTGTGTATCCAGTAATTCTTTTAGTTTATTCAGTTTGAGGTCAGAGTAACAATTTTGTGTGATGCGTAGTCAGAATTTTTTTATCGATGAAGCGAACTTTGAGCTATCATTTCCTAAGTAGTAAGAGCCAAGTTGTCGGACATGGCTAGCATTTGCAGACTTTAAGGTCCCTCACGCCCGCACGTTTGTAGTGCACATGGCTAGCATCTGCAGACTTTAGGGTCCTTCACGCCCGCACGTTTGTAGTGCACATGGCTAGCATCTGCAGACTTTAGGGTCCCTCACGCCCGCACATTTGTAGTGCACATGGCTAGCATCTGCAGAATTTAGGGTCCCCCACGCCCGCACATTTGTAGTGCACATGGCTAGCATCTGCAGACTTTAGGGTCCCCCACGCCCGCACATTTGTAGTGCACATGGCTAGCATCTGCAGACTTTAGGGTCGTTCACGCCCGCACATTTGTAGTGCACATGGCTAGCATCTGCAGACTTTAGGGTCCCTCACGCCTGCACATTTGTAGTGCACATGGCTAGCATCTGCAGACTTTAGGGTCCCTCACGCCCGCACATTTGTAGTGCACATGGCTAGCATCTGCAGACTTTAGGGTCCCCCACGCCCGCACATTTGTAGTGCACATGGCTAGCATCTGCAGACTTTAGGGTCCCCCACGCCCGCACATTTGTAGTGCACATGGCTAGCATCTGCAGACTTTAGGGTCGTTCACGCCCGCACATTTGTAGTGCACATGGCTAGCATCTGCAGACTTTAGGGTCCCTCACGCCCGCACATTTGTAGTGCACATGGCTAGCATCTGCAGACTTTAGGGTCCCTCACGCCCGCACATTTGTAGTGCACATGGCTAGCATCTGCAGACTTTAGGGTCCCTCACGCCCGCACATTTGTAGTGCACATGGCTAGCATCTGCAGACTTTAGGGTCCCTCACGCCCGCACATTTGTAGTGCACATGGCTAGCATCTGCAGACTTTAGGGTCCCTCACGCCCGCACATTTGTAGTGCACATGGCTAGCATCTGCAGACTTTAGGGTCCCTCACGCCCGCACATTTGTAGTGCACATGGCTAGCATCTGCAGACTTTAGGGTCCTTCACGCCTGCACATTTGTAGTGCACATGGCTAGCATCTGCAGACTTTAGGGTCCCTCACGCCCGCACATTTGTAGTGCACATGGCTAGCATCTGCAGACTTTAGGGTCCCTCACGCCCGCACATTTGTAGTGCACATGGCTAGCATCTGCAGACTTTAGGGTCCCCCACGCCCGCACATTTGTAGTGCACATGGCAAGCATCTGCAGACTTTAGGGTCCCTCACGCCCGCACATTTGTAGTGCACATGGCTAGCATCTGCAGACTTTAGGGTCCCCCACGCCCGCACATTTGTAGTGCACATGGCAAGCATCTGCAGACTTTAGGGTCCCTCACGCCCGCACATTTGTAGTGCACAGTTCGTTTTGTTAAGTTGCAGTCAGGTTCCATGTAATGGAGCTGCATGTCCAGACCACTTCCAACCTTCAGTACAAGGCTGGAACATCTACATTCTACACTGCACAACAGGTGTAGATAGGTCTACACTTGCATTGTCTCTAGAATGTACTTTGTCCAGACCATGAAATTGACTTGGATTTCAGATTACCAAAACATTCCCAACAAGTACTCGAGTAGTCTGACACTTGACAGCGGTCTGCGGCTAAAACACCTCTTAGACAGTAGACACACCTAAATAAAAGGCTAAATTGACGGTCAGAATGCTGAGCATGGGTCAGGTTCACAACTTGGTGATTGGTGAAGGAGAACATGTAATTGTTCTGGGAAGAACTGTCAGTGACAGAAAGTGTCAAAGTTCAACAACCGATTAGATTGTTGGTTGTAGTTACTTAGTATACGCTGAGTCAGGCTAGTTTTGATTACAACGCTGTTCATGCCGTATTCTTTCCGGTTTATAATTTAAGCTTTAACTTAACGCATGTATCATGTAGGAGCCGTCATAAATATTCTGTAATTTTAACATTCGATCATAACGTGGAACGTGTCTAAGTTATATATTTGACCTAAGTTGCTCTGTGTACACGAATCTGATGAGCTTCACATTCTTGGCTCTTAATTACTCTTCTTCATTACTTTCCCATGGGAGATCCAACGATACATCACTATTTTAATTTAGAAAATTGCAGCCCGACAGCGTGCATGATGATTCAGACTTCAGTGCGTGTTGCCTGCTGCTGTTGCACTTATGTAAACTTTTAATGTTGTTTAAAGCTTTTCACTCGTGTTACACATGAAAACTGAAAAGGGGTATGTTTCTTCAACATAATCTATTTCTGTATCATGGTTTCTTTTCATATTGACTGCGAAATATTCTACTTGCATTGAAAACAAGATCTTTTCAGATTCTCATGATCATGGAATGATCGGAATGACTTGAAACATTTACCGCTGTTACTCCACGGAGGAGTGGATTCCAGTATTCCAGGATTCTCACTGATTCACATCACCTGCTGACATGAATTTCCGCTGCATTTTCCTCTGTATTTCAGCGTTCTTTCTGATTCACACCCTAGTTCTTGTCTGCATGTTCCACGACAAGATAATTCATCTCAAACTGTTGCTCTCTTCAACCTCTATCTCTATCTCTACTCATGTTTCGGGCGATGTTGGTGATCAACAGTCTATCTTAGAGGAGCTAGAGAAAATGTGGCAGGAGAAGTTAATTGTGGACTTGTTCAGGGGCACTGCAACTTCTAATATAGAGGAGACTTTGGATCAAGAAACCGGTCCTACTACTGAATTTGCTAGGATGCATACTATAACGCCCCAACTTCTAGATTTTAACGACAAACATGGTGATGAACTCGCAGGTCAACAAATAAGGCAGAGTGTTTTGAGGGATCTGATGCCCAAAATGGAACCAATTGAAGATACCGACAAGTTCAGTACTCAGGAGGTCGTTATTCGACCAACTACACATCAACCTGAAATAAGTAAACCTGCCGAACACATACCAGATGAAGATGAAGATTACAACGAGTTTAGTACTGAGGAAGTTATACATCAACCTAAAATAATTCAACCTGCCGAACACATACCAGATGAAGATGATACCTACAACGAGTTTAGTACAGAGGAAGTTACACATCAGCCTAAAATGATTCAACCTGCCGAACATATACCAGGTGAAGATGAAGGTTACAACGAGTTTAGTACTAAGGAAGTTACACATCAGCCTAAAATGATTCAACCTGCTGAACACATACCAGATGAAGATGATACCTACAACGAGTTTAGTACTGAGGAAGTTACACATCAACCTATAATGATTCAACCTGCCGAACACATACCAGGTGAAGATGAAGGTTACAACGAGTTTAGTACTGAGGAAGTTACACATCAACCTAAAATGATTCAACCTGCCGAACAATTATCAGGTGAAGATGAAGACTACAACGAGTTTAGTACTCGGAAAGTTGCTGACGAAGTTTCTGAAGACTCAATAACTTTGAAACAAGAGGAAGAACCAAAGACTGGAAGAGTTGTAACAGTTCCCCAAGATGACGACGAAGAAGACAATCCATTTTTAACAGTGCCCATAGCTGCAACTTCGATAGTAGGTATCGAGCAGCAGGACAATATTCCAGACGACCAGGTACAGAAACAAAACATTGAACTGGCAGAGGAACCAGAGAAGCCGGATGATGTGGAAATACCAGAAGTAGCAGATCAACAACAATTACACGTTAAATCCGAGGAGACTGAATTACAACTTGCTAACCATGAACCAACATTGAAGGATGTTCCGGAGCAAGTACCGCTAAGATCTGTTGCGATTGAGAACATCGAAGCCCCTGATGATGGACCAGCAACACCTCGACCAAAGCAACCGAAAATGGTGCTAGTTCTGACCCAGAGCAGACATGGTTCAACATGGTTGATGGATATACTGGGAAACAGGGACGAGGCTGTCCCTGTTTTTGAGCCGCTGAACACTCAACCTTTCCTAAAGATGTATGCTCTTTCAGATGAGATAAGAGCGGAAACACTTGCAGCTGGATACGACCCAGAAATATATAAGGATTGGAGAGAGGTCTACTTAGCGAGGATTTGTTTATGTGATTGGCACGGGGTGTTGATACCAGGGAAAAAAGATAAACATTTTCAGTCAGTTATGGGCTTGGGTTATAAAGCCAAACGGTTAGGTACCGAGTATAAGATGCAGTATAAGGAAAGCATGGCAAAATGCCAGGAGGAGAAGACCATGATGGTACCTAAAACCATAAGATACTATAACATATCAACAATGTACAAAGTCCAAGATTTCGGGTGTGACAATTTCAAAGTTGTTCATTTAGTGAGAGATCCACGCGCAGTATTAAAATCTCGTATGAGCGTTTTCCATGAGTTATATGATGGCAATAAATACCTAGGAGCACATATCTCGGATAAAGAGGGACAGGCAGGCTTCAGTGAAGAGTACATGACAGAAGCAGCTCATTGGATGTGTTCTCATCATCTATATAACTACAAACTAGGCATGAACCCTCCACCCTGGCTGAAAGGACGGTACAAAATGGTCAGGTTCGAGGATTTAGCAGAATCGCCGCAACAAGTGACCAGAGACCTGCTGCATTTCATAGGAGTAAAATACACTGCCAAGTATCAAGAATATGTGTACAATTTAACTCATGTAAAAGACAGAGGGGGGAAGGATGGTGGTTATTTCGGGGTGGAGAGACAATCTAGTGAAATTTTGGATGCATGGAAGAAGAAACTTAGTGAACCTCATTGGAGAACTATTGAAAAAGTTTGTGCCGATATGATGAAGGCGTTTAATTATGAGCCCACGTTTTTTAATTCAGAAGAATAAAGTTGGGGATGATTTTTTTAGAAATTTGATTCAGATAAATTTTATATGACTTTTCTTAGGTTGGGACCAGATTTTGTATTGAACCGAGTATCGTCAACTTCTGAGTTCTGACTCTTTTTATGATTGATAAGATTTCTTCTTTATTTAATTTCATTATGTTTATATTTTGATGTGAAAATCAGTTTTAATTTTACCAATTTTGAAATGAAACCTATAGTCAATTCTGTCAATCTAATAAATCCTTGCATAATAAGCACAAGCATTGAAAACAATAGAGTATTTAAAAGCTTGCCAGACTGAACTTACCCATACCAATGCTACTCATTCTAAAAGTGTAACCTATATGAAGCCAGACCCTAGACCCTAACACCACGTCATAATACAGACAGCTACAGCTGATACTAAGTGTTCACAATAACTACCAACCTGTGCCTGAAGGCAGCGCCTGAGCAGGGGCCCCATGTCGACTGGATGGAGTGCTTGGAGCGGAAGAGGATTGAGCGCTGTGTGAGGATGTAGCTGAGCGTGATGACGTCACTGACTTGGGTGACGTCACACTCCCTCCATCTACCTCTACTTCTGTCTGACTCCGCGAACTGGCGATACTATGTCTTTCGACTGAATTGTTGTCTGGAGGAATGAATATGTTCATTTTTGTGTAAATTAAATTCTTTAGAACATTCGGGAATTTTAATAAAATTAACCTTGAACATAACGAGATGGAATGAAAAGAATGTCATTGGTATGTCACAGTGTGCTGCAAAATTGCACACTACTAACAAACCTGAATTCACATTTTCCGCATACTCAAGTTCCGGCTCGTTTTCGATTGCATCTAAGGCGTCTAGGAACTCATCGTCTGAGCTATCGCTATCTCTATCTGGTATCAAACAGGCTACATTACTACCAGACATGCAGCCTATAACGGAGATATAATTAGTAAATTAAACAGGCTACATTACTACCAGACATGCAGCCTATAACGGAGATATAATTAGTAAATTAAACAGGCTACATTACTACCAGACATGCAGCCTATAACGGAGATATAATTAGTAAATTAAACAGGCTACATTACTACCAGACATGCAGCCTATAACGGAGATATAATTAGTAAATTAAACAGGCTACATTACTACCAGACATGCAGCCTATAACGGAGATATAATTAGTAAATTAAACAGGCTACATTACTACCAGACATGCAGCCTATAACGGAGATATAATTAGTAAATTAAACAGGCTACATTACTACCAGACATGCAGCCTATAACGGAGATATAATTAGTAAATTAAACAGGCTACATTACTACCAGACATGCAGCCTATAACGGAGATATAATTAGTAAATTAAACAGGCTACATTACTACCAGACATGCAGCCTATAACGGAGATATAGTTAGTAAATTAAACAGGCTACATTACTACCAGACATGCAGCCTATAACGGAGATATAATTAGTAAATTAAACAGGCTACATTACTACCAGACATGCAGCCTATAACGGAGATATAATTAGTAAATTAAACAGGCTACATTACTACCAGACATGCAGCCTATAACGGAGATATAATTAGTAAATTAAACAGGCTACATTACTACCAGACATGCAGCCTATAACGGAGATATAATTAGTAAATTAAACAGGCTACATTACTACCAGACATGCAGCCTATAACGGAGATATAATTAGTAAATTAAACAGGCTACATTACTACCGGACATGCAGCCTATAACGGAGATATAATTAGTAAATTAAACAGGCTACATTACTACCAGACATGCAGCCTATAACGGAGATATAGTTAGTAAATTAAACAGGCTACATTACTACCAGACATGCAGCCTATAACGGAGATATAATTAGTAAATTAAACAGGCTACATTACTACCAGACATGCAGCCTATAACGGAGATATAATTAGTAAATTAAACAGGCTACATTACTACCAGACATGCAGCCTATAACGGAGATATAATTAGTAAATTAAACAGGCTACATTACTACCAGACATGCAGCCTATAACGGAGATATAATTAGTAAATTAAACAGGCTACATTACTACCAGACATGCAGCCTATAACGGAGATATAATTAGTAAATTAAACAGGCTACATTACTACCAGACATGCAGCCTATAACGGAGATATAATTAGTAAATTAAACAGGCTACATTACTACCAGACATGCAGCCTATAACGGAGATATAATTAGTAAATTAAACAGGCTACATTACTACCAGACATGCAGCCTATAACGGAGATATAGTTAGTAAATTAAACAGGCTACATTACTACCAGACATGCAGCCTATAACGGAGATATAATTAGTAAATTAAACAGGCTACATTACTACCAGACATGCAGCCTATAACGGAGATATAGTTAGTAAATTAAACAGGCTACATTACTACCAGACATGCAGCCTATAACGGAGATATAGTTAGTAAATTAAACAGGCTACATTACTACCAGACATGCAGCCTATAACGGAGATATAATTAGTAAATTAAACAGGCTACATTACTACCAGACATGCAGCCTATAACGGAGATATAATTAGTAAATTAAACAGGCTACATTACTACCAGACATGCAGCCTATAACGGAGATATAATTAGTAAATTAAACAGGCTACATTACTACCAGACATGCAGCCTATAACGGAGATATAATTAGTAAATTAAACAGGCTACATTACTACCAGACATGCAGCCTATAACGGAGATATAATTAGTAAATTAAACAGGCTACATTACTACCGGACATGCAGCCTATAACGGAGATATAGTTAGTAAATTAAACAGGCTACATTACTACCAGACATGCAGCCTATAACGGAGATATAATTAGTAAATTAAACAGGCTACATTACTACCAGACATGCAGCCTATAACGGAGATATAATTAGTAAATTAAACAGGCTACATTACTACCGGACATGCAGCCTATAACGGAGATATAATTAGTAAATTAAACAGGCTACATTACTACCAGACATGCAGCCTATAACGGAGATATAATTAGTAAATTAAACAGGCTACATTACTACCAGACATGCAGCCTATAACGGAGATATAATTAGTAAATTAAACAGGCTACATTACTACCAGACATGCAGCCTATAACGGAGATATAGTTAGTAAATTAAACAGGCTACATTACTACCAGACATGCAGCCTATAACGGAGATATAGTTAGTAAATTAAACAGGCTACATTACTACCAGACATGCAGCCTATAACGGAGATATAGTTAGTAAATTAAACAGGCTACATTACTACCAGACATGCAGCCTATAACGGAGATATAGTTAGTAAATTAAACAGGCTACATTACTACCAGACATGCAGCCTATAACGGAGATATAGTTAGTAAATTAAACAGGCTACATTACTACCAGACATGCAGCCTATAACGGAGATATAGTTAGTAAATTAAACAGGCTACATTACTACCAGACATGCAGCCTATAACGGAGATATAGTTAGTAAATTAAACAGGCTACATTACTACCGGACATGCAGCCTATAACGGAGATATAGTTAGTAAATTAAACAGGCTACATTACTACCAGACATGCAGCCTATAACGGAGATATAGTTAGTAAATTAAACAGGCTACATTACTACCAGACATGCAGCCTATAACGGAGATATAGTTAGTAAATTAAACAGGCTACATTACTACCAGACATGCAGCCTATAACGGAGATATAGTTAGTAAATTAAACAGGCTACATTACTACCGGACATGCAGCCTATAACGGAGATATAGTTAGTAAATTAAACAGGCTACATTACTACCAGACATGCAGCCTATAACGGAGATATAGTGAGTAAATTAAACAGGCTACATTACTACCAGACATGCAGCCTATAACGGAGATATAGTTAGTAAATTAAACAGGCTACATTACTACCAGACATGCAGCCTATAACGGAGATATAGTTAGTAAATTAAACAGGCTACATTACTACCAGACATGCAGCCTATAACGGAGATATAGTTAGTAAATTAAACAGGCTACATTACTACCAGACATGCAGCCTATAACGGAGATATAGTTAGTAAATTAAACAGGCTACATTACTACCAGACATGCAGCCTATAACGGAGATATAGTTAGTAAATTAAACAGGCTACATTACTACCAGACATGCAGCCTATAACGGAGATATAGTTAGTAAATTAAACAGGCTACATTACTACCAGACATGCAGCCTATAACGGAGATATAGTTAGTAAATTAAACAGGCTACATTACTACCAGACATGCAGCCTATAACGGAGATATAATTAGTAAATTAAACAGGCTACATTACTACCAGACATGCAGCCTATAACGGAGATATAGTTAGTAAATTAAACAGGCTACATTACTACCAGACATGCAGCCTATAACGGAGATATAGTGAGTAAATTAAACAGGCTACATTACTACCAGACATGCAGCCTATAACGGAGATATATTTAGTAAATTAAACAGGCTACATTACTACCAGACATGCAGCCTATAACGAGATATATTTAGTAAATTAAACAGGCTACATTACTACTAGACATGCAGCCTATAACGGAGATATAGTGAGTAAATTAAACAGGCTACATTACTACTAGACATGCAGCCTATAACGGAGATATAATTAGTAAATTAAACAGACTACATTACTACCGGACATGCAGCCTATAACGGAGATATAGTGAGTAAATTAAACAGACTACATTACTACCAGACATGCAGCCTATAACGGAGATATAGTGAGTAAATTAAACAGGTTACATTACTACCAGACATGCAGCCTATAACGGAGATATAATTAGTAAATTAAACAAGCTACATTACTACCAGACATGCAGCCTATAACGGAGATATAGTTAGTAAATTAAACAGGCTACATTACTACCAGACATGCAGCCTATAACGGAGATATAGTTAGTAAATTAAACAGGTTACATTACTACCAGACATGCAGCCTATAACGGAGATATAGTTAGTAAATTAAACAGGCTACATTACTACCAGACATGCAGCCTATAACGGAGATATAATTAGTAAATTAAACAGACTACATTACTACCAGACATGCAGCCTATAACGGAGATATAGTGAGTAAATTAAACAGGCTACATTACTACCAGACATGCAGCCTATAACGGAGATATAATTAGTAAATTAAACAGGCTACATTACTACCAGACATGCAGCCTATAACGGAGATATAATTAGTAAATTAAACAGGCTACATTACTACCAGACATGCAGCCTATAACGGAGATATAGTGAGTAAATTAAACAGGCTACATTACTACCAGACATGCAGCCTATAACAGAGATATAGTTAGTAAATTAAACAGGCTACATTACTACCAGACATGCAGCCTATAACGGAGATATAATTAGTAAATTAAACAGGCTACATTACTACCAGACATGCAGCCTATAACGGAGATATAATTAGTAAATTAAACAGGCTACATTACTACCAGACATGCAGCCTATAACGGAGATATATTTAGTAAATTAAACAGGCTACATTACTACCAGACATGCAGCCTATAACGGAGATATATTTAGTAAATTAAACAGGCTACATTACTACCAGACATGCAGCCTATAACGGAGATATATTTAGTAAATTAAACAGGTTACATTACTACCAGACATGCAGCCTATAACGGAGATATATTTAGTAAATTAAACAGGCTACATTACTACCAGACATGCAGCCTATAACGGAGATATAGTTAGTAAATTAAACAGGCTACATTACTACCAGACATGCAGCCTATAACGGAGATATAGTTAGTAAATTAAACAGACTACATTACTACCAGACATGCAGCCTATAACGGAGATATAGTGAGTAAATTAAACAGGTTACATTACTACCGGACATGCAGCCTATAACGG